CACTAAGAGGTATATACCTTGGCCAATTATTATTAATTAGTTTAAAAGGACAAAATTGATTAGATTTTGTTTTCTTGCATCAAATCCCATTTTATATACCCTTACTTGAGCCATCATAATAACAGTGACCATGCAATGTACATTCTTTAGCTCACTGAATCCTCACATGACTCCAGAGATTGGTACCATAATTAGCTCCATTTCACAGATGAGGAAATTAAGGTTCAAAGAGGTAATTAATTTGCCCAAAGTCTCACAACTGGTAAAAAGTAGAGCAAGTATTCAAGTCCTGGTTACCCAACTCTAAAGCCAGTGTGCTTGACCACTGTGTTACAGGATGCTGTTCTCTGCTTATACAGAAAACGCTGTCAAACATAAGTTCAATAACAACGACTTAGATCTGCATAATAATTTGTAGCCGACAAAGAACTCTACACCCTCCACAGCACAGAGTGCAGTTCAATGTGCATACAGATCCCGTTTGTCTTGGTCACTTCCTGGGAAATTCAGAAGATGCTACACTTCGGCGTTTCTAACACTTCACCCAGGGAGGGCGGTAAGGGAGGCCCATAGATTTAGGGTAAGAATATGTTGAAAGGATATGTTAAAAGAGTAAAACCCTTTATATACTTTTCAAAGCACTTCCATATTCAGTAGCTGATCTGAAGCAAACCACCCCATGACACAGATTGCATGACAGAATTATTCCTGTTTTAGGAACAAGGAAACTGAGGTTCAGGGTAATTATCTAAGTGAAGTCCTAGAGTTAATGTGTGACACCGGCAGGACCTGAACTCAGGTCTTCTAGGGCCTTTCTAATCTACCAGCCCCTACTTGGGGGTCTGAACCACATCTAGGGAACCTAAGGAGTCCTCTACTCTAGGAGACGGAACACCACTGCTGCTGGTGTTGGTGGTTCTGAAAGGGAAGCAGCAGGCACGGATCTAACCAGCCCACCTCCCATGATGCTCTTCTTACCCCCCGGGAATCTAGCAGTCATTCTAAAATAACTAACCAACAGGTCCTCTTATTTTGTCTGTTTAGTGACAAAACCCTCAAAAGGTATAAGGAGGTAAATGAACAATTTTAAAAGAGAAAAATCACCAAACTTCCAAAAACCCAGCATGAGAAGATGAGACATAATCTAAATTGTAGCCTTAAAGGAGACATTCTTTCTGATTCCTAAACATAACCGGCTCATCTCCTCCATGACAACTTCTTGTAAAATTGCAACTCTAGTTACAGACATTCTCAGCTCCTCCCACAGAATGTTCTTCACTATCATTAGAGAGAAAAATGTTCATCTATATTCATGCTTGACTACTCAGGGTATACAGATCATAAACTTCATACTCACCTTGAGAAAAAAAGGGTCTGTTACAAAACCAAAACATTTTCTAAAGCATCAATCTCACAATGCTCTAAAAATGTATAAACACCAAGTCAAATGTGCAGATTAGAGCTGATCCAAGACTCCCATAGGATGGCATGGCCGTATGAAAAAGGAAGGGTTCAAAAAGCATAAAACAAATATTTCAAAATGGTTAACAGACTCACGGACACACAGCATCATCTAAGGTTTCTTCATCGGAAGGCTATATATAACGTGGTCTTGACCTAAGTTTCTAAAATGGGAGGCTTTTAATTCAGTGCTTGTGGGATTACATTTGTGTTGGTCTGATGGGCCCTAAGGGGCAGTAAAACATAAGTCATTTTCCTCTTAACATTTATGGCCTTCTGGCTTTGCAATACCTCTAGTGTTCCCTGAAAAAAATGGGGAAGAATCTTAAGATTTAAAAGTTCTTTTTTTTTTTTTTAATTTGCTTTAACAAGAAAACAAATACATATGACCTGTGTTTTGATTTTTTGTTGTTTTAGGGGAAGGGAGGAGTAACGGGACCAAGAAGGAAGGGAACTGTTAGGGAAGGTAGCAGCTTGCCAGCCCCACATCAGCTTCCCCTGGCAGATGCCTCCTCATCTTTCAAGATTCTGCTCAAAGACTCGTGGCTTTTACCACCTCTGGTCCACACCTCTACTCCTGCACTCACCATAGCACACTGCTCAACCAATAGTTTCTCCCACCAGACAAAGGACACCTGAGCACAAGGTCTAAGATCCGCATCTCAGACATTCTGGCATCCCTGGCCTCTGGCCCAGAGCCAGGCACTCAACAGGAACTCGGGAAATGTTGGCCATTTTAAGGAACATGGCTGAGAGGCTCTGATTTGCAGACATGGTTCTTACTTTACACAAAATACTCTCAGCATTTCCTACCGAAATGTGCCTACCGGTGGAGAAGAGTCAGCAGGCAGCTCTTGGAGTTGGGGCACAGCATGAACTGATGGTTAAAACGCCTGGGAAGCCTCGCATTTTACTTTAGAAATCCACGTGACATCTGCATTCTCCTTCATAAGGGATCTAGTTTTGTTCTGATACTAAAAATAATGTTTTCAATTTACTTATTAATTAAATTCTTTCCCCCGACAACGTATGTCATTCAACTGGTTGTTCCATGAGGGTGCCTGCCCTTTGTTGTCCTCCAGCTCTGCACAGCCCCACGAGGCTGCCGATTTTCACCCCCACCACTCTAACGAGGAACCACTACTCCTATCTTCCTCCTTTCTCTTTGTTTAAAGCACCACATGATCTGGCTCCTACCTCTTCTTCACTGTGCCAGGGCGGTGGTTCCCGCGTGGGGAAGCTAAAAGATAAGGCACGTCACTGGCACTGTTTAAATTAGTGGTTTCCATGGCCTCCGTCAGTTTAGTTGGATTTGGGAGACAATGAGGTGCCAAGGAATTCAAAACAGAATTGCTGTTAACCTTGTATGGGCAGTTCCTGTGGCAAAACCAAACACAATGTTGTTTCTCCAGGGATAACTTCTACCCAACACTAACCTAAGGCCCCAGAGGTTCATTAGGAGGAAGGCACTTTACACATTCCAAGTAAAAGGACATGGAACTGGGGGAGCCAGCTATCTGAAGGCAGCACTGGCAGGGAAGTGAGGTGTGCTGTCACACCACTGACGCAGCCCAGGCCCTGCTGTCCCTTCACTGGGGCAGGGGCTTCACAAGGCAGCGGGCATCCATGGTGTAACACTAACCACACTTTAGGAGAATTCAAAATGTGGTATCCCCTGAAAACAGGCAGGGCACATTTGGAGGAAGATTAAGAAAGGGAGCAGAGATGGATTACTAGCTCTGCTTTCTGCCCTGGAAAAGGCAGCATTTCAGAAGAACGGGATAAAGGTCTCTCCACTGACACACTTAACACACATGAAGACATCACTTCCCTGAGATACAAACTCCAAGAGAGGAAGATAAAGTGAGTGAGGAGGAGACAAATTCATTTGGAATCAAGTCCATCAACAAGTATTTCCTGAGGATGTCTGGGCTCAGTGCAGTGACAAAGGCTCCCCTGGGGGAGACGGATACCTCCTGAGCCTGCATCTGTGCCCCCATCCCTGGCAATGGTGGTATGCTCCCTTCTCTGGGATGTCTAAGGGATGAGAATGGTGAGTTGCCCTAAAGGACTCTGGGATGGCACCTCCAACCACAGTCAGCGCAAAGCCCTGCCGCACAGAGAGTCTCCATCCTGAGCCAGTCTCCACTGAACCCTCTTTGTGGAGGGTCAAGCCACAGAGATGGGGTGGCCCAAAATACCATCAACGAAATTCCAAAAATACTGACTGATTGATGAGAACTATGATAAGGTTACAGGAAACATATGCTAAAAAGTTGACTGTCATCTTGAATTAAAGAAAGATTCTAAGTTAAGATTAAAATTGAATTAGAGGAAACATTGTCAATGATAGTAGCACCTACCGAACTAATAAATGATCCTGGTTTGAAGGATATAAAATTTTGAAATTGTTCAGTATTTATATATAATCTAGGTTTATTTCTCCTTCACAGTAAAATCTGGAACACCACTGGAAATATTTTCAATACTTGATGAGTGACTTAAAAGGGCCAGGTTATATATGAAAGGAAACAAAATCACAAAAGACAAAGGCCTCCTCCTGAGGGAGCCCAAGGTAGGGTATTCTGTCACTCACGTGTAATCCACTTCTACACATTCACGTACTAACATGGCTGGCTTCAGGGAAGCATTTCCATGTTATTAATAGTGTTTGGCAAGCATCAGAAACACAGAATCTCACAGACAGATACAGGCAGAAAAGAATCACAGTTCAATCCAAAAGCAACACACTGAGGGGACATCAGAGTCCAAACGCATGCAGAGAAGCTATCAGAGTGCAGCCGGGAGACACGCAGAGCCGCCCCACACGTGGCAGCAGGAGAATGTGCAACACGGATCCAACTGCTTACCCACTAAGGACACCAAGAACCAGGTTAAGGACGAAAAATGAGCCAAGGATGATCAGACTAACAAAATATACCCATGGCCATTCCCATCCTATCGCATCATTTACCTGTAAAATGTAAGGAGATCAGTTATCAGTTATCCATTTACTAAAGAGCAGAGCCCCAGCTGCAGCTGCCAGACCACTCAGGGCTTTGGCTGAAGGTTAGTGCTCCTGGGACAGGGACTGAGCCTCGGTCGTTCCATTTTGTTCTTCAAATAAAGAAAGTTCTGCTGCTGAAATCTGGCCTACCAAAAGTCAGGCCGGACCAGCTCATTTAGCTACCGATTCATACCAATTAATCTGCATTATATTTGGACCCAGACCAATACAGCAATTATAAATGTATCTCATTTTAGGACAGACAAAAGGGCAAGCAATGGGAACTATTTAAATCCCATGCAACAAAGCTGATTAATTTCTGGTCAATAAGCTCTCTATAGCTTTCTTTCATGAAGGCTGGTGAGGTTCCAGGAAACAGTTTGATTTGGGAAGCCTCAGCAGAAAAGAAAGCATCTCCGAGGACACATACAGCATTTGGCACCCACCCGGCGGCCCCCATCTAGCAAAGCCTGTGTGGTCTTGGCAGCTGTCCTCAGGACTCTGCTTTCAAGATGAAAGAGGTATAGCTTACCCGCTCAATACACCAAGTACAAGATTTAGTACGAAAAATGACCCAAAGATGACGAGACTGACAAAATACACCCAGGGCAATTCAAATCCCATAGCATCATTCATCTGTAAGAAATAAGACGGTCTCATAGGAGTGGGTTAATAAGAGAATCTAATAAGGAGAGAGAGGGTCACATTAGAGACAGCATTCTATACATTTAATTAAACATTTACTTAGATTCAAATCAGAGACAACAGTAGCCAGTACACATTCATTACACATTCCCAACACACGCGCACACACGCACGCCAAATCATAGGAGATTTGGGCCATAGGCTGGAAACAGGCTGGGATCTTGCTCTCTCTAACAGGAAACTGCCTTGATAAGTGGTTTTCAGAAAAGATCATGGTAGAGGAAAAAAACTAGTGCTTAGCTGGACTATTTTCCATTCTGCCCAAGTTGTTAGTACTTTGCTTTTAAAATTTGTGATGGTGGAAAAGTCTTCATTATAGAGACAAACTGGCAACATTTGACTCTATAACTTCTTTTCTTTAAAAAAAAAAAAAACTCCTAAAACAATAACCTTCAACTGGACACCAACTACCCCAGGAAACCTAACCACCTGAAATCTGGATCATGCGCAGTCAGTGAGGGCAAGCATAGATAACCGAACACAAAAAATAAAACATTTTCAGAAGTCAACTAGCTGACACATACTCACGGGTGCTTTTGGAAATGGGATTTTTCCTAACTATACCAGGAATGACTCAGGAAAAGAAGTCCTTATCCCTCACACCTAGCTTTGACTTAGCTGACTCAGAGCTGGCTCCAGCAGTGGGCTGACTGGGATCACAGGTGACAGAGGGCCTGGCCAGAGGAACCAGTGCCCTGACTGCTGAGACAGCTCAAGAGGCACAGTCAGACCTGGCCTCTCTGACAGGCCCTCCCAGGAGAGGTTAGCCAGTGAGCAGCTTTCATGCTGGAGCAAACAGGTGCTTCAAGATTCACAGCTGGAGGGAAGTTTCCAGCAGCAGAGGTCAGTGTTAAACTGAGCAAACCCCTCTCCCACGAGGGAGGTGTTAAGTGCCAGTCAGGGGACAGAATGGATGACTCCAGGCCTGACTCTCCCAAAACGCCCAGAATCTTTGGCCAGTAAGAGCCACATACAGTCTGGGCAGAGACTTCGCTCCTGCCTTGGGTGTGAGCCCTTAGGCCTTTCCAAAGCCCTGCCTTAAGCATGTGCTTTCTTGCACATTATCTGGCTGCAGGTTTTAGCTTTATAGAATAAGCCTCGTGCATTTCACTATGTTTGCCTCATGCAGCAGCCAAACAGGAAAAGAGAACATAAAAAAAAAAATTATCTAACATCTGTTGCTGAAGTCTAGGGAGAGGGCATTAAATCCCTTATGAAACACCTGTTTGGCCACATGAAAACTGATGTGCTTAATAGAACTCATATCAGTCTGCACGTCTTACATTGGCAATTAGAGTAATGAATGAGCCAGGGCCATGGCTGCAATTGTTGATCTAATTAAGCTGGATAAACTAATTTGAGCAGGAAGGCAGAGGCTAATTCTTCCAAGCAACTACACCACTAAACTTATTTAAAAACCCACGTGTGGAGAAGCAGCAGGCAGGCCGGCGCAGTGGCCAGAGCCCAGCCGAGAGCTGCACAGAGACCTCTGTGGGCCTGTCTTCTTTTCTGCTGGATGAGGAAGAGTGCTTCTCAAGGTGCGGAAGGGTGCCCATCACGGCTCCCACCCTGAAATCTCACTCTCTACCACTCTGGGGAAGTCCGTGGGCCACGCCATCTGTTGGCCTCTGAAATGGCCTCACTCACCTACTCTGGAGAGTGGCTTTAGCAGCAGCTGTCTGTGCCACTTGGGAGAGAAAATTCTATTAAAAAAAAAAATGTTTAATTTCTTAGGAGTAAGTGTTCAGCAGATTCACATTTGCTCAAATCAGAAGTATCACCTGGAATGCCAGCTGGGGGGCAGGGGGGGGGGAGGGGAGAGGGAAGGGGAGAGGCTGGAGCTAAACAAAAGCCAATGGGAGACTCTCTAAACATCTATGTTGGAAGGTGGGGAAGAGAAACACAACTTAAGCTTTAAGGGCCAGTCTTTCTCCCAACTAAACCTTCTCAACCCAGTTTCTTTACAGAGTCTAGTACTTCTTAGATCTAACCACATATGTAGGGAAAAGTAAGAACTGGTAAACTGTTTCAAAAAATTCCCACACGAAAACACAGACTCTGCTTGGGATTTTGTCTACATGGTCTTTAGCAACAGTGGGGAAATCAGCATGAGCTGAAGCATTTCAATTTAGATTCATTTTTTAGTATTTATATCAAAGCCATCATGTGGTGATACCTGGTGCCCAGGAAATCATATTCCACTTAGCTTCCGTTTTTCCTCATTTTAAAGGCTGGAATGCACATTCTTGTATCAAATTAAAGACCAACCTACTTTTTTTTTTCTTTCTAATCACTGATACACTATAGAATAAGAGCATAGAATAAGAGAAAGGCACAGAAAGGCAAGCCCTTGGCTGATTAACTGTTGAGGAATTCCCCTGGTGCCCTGAATGAAGTAGATTGCCAGCATGACCATGAGTACTTTCTGTTTGAGTTCACTGAGAAAAGAGCTTGGTGCTAAAGAAAGAGGCCAGAAGTGATTTGTATGAACAGCTCTCTCCTGAAACCAATGATATTTTAATTTCCTACATTTAAAACATTTCCTCTGTGTTGAAAGAAAAAAAAATTATACCATCTAGCCTAATTCTACATCTTGTAGACAAGAAAAGGAAAACCCCAAGAGGTTCAGTGACGCACCCAAGGTCCCACAACCAGCCCTATCCAGCCTTAATGTTCTTGCTTTGCACTACACCCGACTGCCTCTGTGGACATCAAATATGTGTGAGTCAAATGATAGTTTAATTATTTTTATGGAACTCACTTTGTAAAAGAGCACTAGAGTAATTTTTTTTTCCTAGAAGTTAATAACCCCAACCTCAACACATCCAAATAGTTCTCAGTGTGTCTTTCTGCATATGGGGACCACCTGTACTTCCCTTCTCAAGACTCTGTTAGCCATTTCCCAGACATGCTTGAGAATTAAGGCATAAACCAGCTTGAGAACACTGACTGGATATAAACATGACTAGATGGAAAACAATCCTTAGCAAAGACTTTATCCACCATATACAAATGCCTCAAGGATGAGAAATCTGCTTACAATCAATATTTAAAATCTAATCACCTTCTTTATCTCCCAAGATGTTCCCCTTATGCTCTAGTTGTGGATAAAAAAAGATATTTAAGCATGGCCCATCTACACGCCTGAGGCAATGGGACTGGTACACTTGAGGGATGATAATAGCACCTAGCATTTGTTCAGCACCTGCTCTGTGCCAGGTGTTGTGCTCGGCATGGATGTTCTGTTCTGGAACACAGCTGTGTGGCTTCCAGCTGACCAAGGTCTATAAAATATTATGAAGATTTGGTGCCTCAGCTTCTGCCTATCTCTATGATGAGTTAATAAATGCAATCAGCAAGTAATAAAAACAATCCTGATGCGTTTCAGAGAGTAAGATCTTAGTGAACACTATGGAAGACATTACTTAGCTGCCTCCTAGTGTTCTCGAAGTGTTTACAAACCTCTGACAAATGGAAGAATGCCAAGGAAAAAGGACTGGGTTCTAATCTAGATCAGGGGTTGCCAAACAATGACCTGCAGGCCACATCTGGCCCACCATCTGCTTTTGTACAGCCTTCATGCAAAAATTGTTGCTACATTTTTAAATGATTAAAAAAAAGAATATTCCATGACACATGAAAATTATATGAAATTCAAATTTCAGTGTTCATAAAGTTTTATTGGAATAGAGCTACACTCATTAACTTACGTACTGTCTGTGGCTATTTTCGTGCTCCAACAGCATAGCAGAGCAGTTACTACTGAGACTTCATGGCTCAAAAGGCCAAAAATATTTACTATCTGGCCCTTTAAAGAAAAAGTTTGAAGACCCCTGTTCTAGATCAACCACTTGCTATGGTCTCTCTATATCCCACTGTCTCTATCTTCAAAATCTCAGACCTTCCATAAAGGAATATACACTGGGATACTGTCTATAAATTACTTTGAGTTTCTCATCAGAAAAAAAGATGCGACATAATTCTTGAAGAATTTAATTATTACTTTGTCAAATTATTAACTATGTGATTGATACATGAATAATAAAGATAATTATATCACCCTAGACAATACTTAAGGAGCCCTGGTGATACACTGGTTAAGCACTGGGCTGCTGACCACAAGGTCAGCAGTTCAAATGCACCAATTGCTCTGTGGAAGAAAGATATCGCAGTCTGCCTCTGTAAAGGCTACAGTCTTGGAAACCTATGGGGCAGTTCTGCTCTGTCCTATAAAGTCACTAGGAGTCAGACCTGACTTGATGGCAGTGAGTTTGCTTTGGTTTTGGTTAAGTAGTACTTAAAAGTTCTCAGAAGAGCAAATGAAAACTTTTGCTTCTGAGGGCATGGGGTGTTCCCTCCTTAATCACACACTCCCAGAGTTTTCACTTGCTTGACAATAGAAAAACTGCCACAAGAGAATCAATGTGCAGCAATGTAACATCAAGTATAACACTGCCTGTCAGTCAGGACATGTTGGATCAGCAGTTGACAATTCACTGTGACGACAGAGAGAAAAACAAAGCTGAGATGCGTCACAGATTTTTAATTTAAAAAATAGAAATGTTGTTTTCTGTACTGTTTGGAGGGAAAGATTAGAATTTGGACTATTTGGATGATGCTTTTTCTATTTATCAGAAACTTCAAGGGCAGATTGGGATTGAGACCTCAACTAATGTGACTGAGAGTTGCAATTTAGATGTTAATAGTGAAAATGAACCCTTTACCTGAAACCTGAATTTGATGGTCTCCTTCCAAGCCCTGGTCTTAGCTCATGCAATATAATCTCTCTCTTCCTTCCTGTTCATGAAAAGGGGTTGTCTTACGAATATAAATAACAGACGTGCACACCCACAGACACTCACACATAAGCACACACACTTCGATGACAATCAGGAGGAGGGGAAAGAGAGAAACAAGTAATAACATGCTGGTGACATTTAAACCACATTATCAAACTAGACTCATACCTCGGGGACTAAAGATAAAGACATCCCTTCTTTGCATAACATTGAATATATAAGGACTTCTACAAGCCTGCAAGCACGGTTTTCACCGGTGAAGGAAAGCAACAAGCTATTTATGCACATCATATGCTCTGTTCTCTTAAGTTATGGAGCAATAGGAAGTGCTGGAAAGTGTCTAAAATGGGGAGGCTGTCAGAGCTACTTCTCAACTTGCAGGCCTTCTAACTAGAGTGTCCATTCCAGAAGTACTTTACAACTAACTGCCTTCTAACAACTCATATTGGAAAGCTGGCTAATCCCATCTGGACTTGGATTTAGAGGCTCAAAATCTACACATTAGTTGTTTTTCACAAAACAATTTCTAAACTTTTGTGACCCTTTTCAAATTCTACCAAATAAACTCAGTTCTGGAAAATGGCTATTAAAATACTACTGTACCTTAGGCAACGGGGAGTTTGGTTGGTACTTTGTTTGGAGCCCTGGTTGCGCAGTGGTTAAGCATTTGGCTGCTAACCAAAAGGTCTTCGAACTCACCAGCTGCTCCTCGGAAACTCTATGGGGCTGTTCTACTCTGTCCTATAAGGTTGCTATGAGTTGGAATTGACTCTACAGCAACAGATTTTGTTTTTTCTGTTTTGGTTTTTTTTTGTACTTTATTTATAGCAAATCCTTCTGGCTCTGTCAGAAACAAGAGGAATGAGACCCTTCAAAAGCCAGTGGAAGGATGTCCAACTTTTCATGGTGGGTTGGACGGGTCCACCAGCCCTGGAAGTTTGGAGTGCAATATTTACCCTTTCTGCTGAAGTTCTATAACTTCAAAGAGAAAAGAAGAGAGCTAAGTTTGCTTGTTGTGCACTGATTTATAGTAACACTGAATATGCAAAAGAGAAATACTAAATTGGGGAAAAACTCATTTTAGGTTTAAGGTTGTACTAAGTTATGGAAAGCACGTTAAGGATCCAACTTATCGTTCCTGTAACTTTAGGATCTAGTACAGCAACCTTGCCTTTATTTATAAAAGACCAAGTTTAGCCTGTGGAAGTCCAGGAGCTTATTAACCTGGGAAATGACTCTCTGGATCTCTCAGAGTTTAATTAAGACAGTCCCGGCCTTCTATGGTTCCTCCAAGGAGATCACTGGGCACACTCTGCAATAATCCCCAGGCTGCACTGAGGAGTGGAGAACTAAAAGGCTAGAAGCCAACATAATACAGCGGCTTCCTAGAATTGAAATTAAGGCCCTGAGGAAGCAGAATGACAAGGCCTACTGAGTGAAGAGAGGGTCTGCTTTGCTTTCCAAAGAACTGACTTCCAGGGTCTCTTTTTCAGTCAAGTCTACAAGGAAGCTCTAGTTGCTGAAACACTTTTAATCAAACAAAGAACACTCTATAAACTCTCTCCTCAAGCTGCTTACCCAGTAGAGCACGTCTGTCCAGCCTTCCATGGTGATACACTGAAACACAGTGAGCATGGCAAAGGCAAAGTTATCAAAGTTGGTGATGCCTCCATTTGGGCCAACCCAGCCACTCCTACACTCTGTGTCATTGGCGGTACACTGGCGTCCATTCCCTGAGAACGCACATGGTGCTGGGTCCTCTTCAGCTACGATATCTGCAAACAGAGCAAGATGTCTTCACCATTTGGGAGAGGAACATCAGGAAAACCCAAGCCAGCAGATGCTGAAGGATTCTTGCCAGAGCTTGGAAAACCCTACGTCCCATCTAACCTGTCTCAGAATCCTACTTGTCCTTCAAGGTCCAGTTCAAGTACTCCCTCCTTTGTGGAATATCCCTTGTTTCCTTCAGTCAGAAGCCATTGCCTTCTTCTGTACTCACTCTTACAGCTCCTTTCTTAAGCCTAAACAGAACAATGCTATTGTTTTGTCTCATATTCTAGTTTTGGGGGTCCCTCGTCTTACTTGACAGGACATACTGAAGAGGAAATCAGGACAGAAAAGGAGATTCATCTATTCTGAACATAATTCACGGTAAGAACTGGCTCAGTAGATCTGCTGGCATATGTGACTTTTTTTCTCTCCTCTCATTTTGCTTTAGATACTCAAAATTGTTTTCGGGAAAACCAAATTTTTTTAAAGTTAGGTTAGCAACCATTTTCATTACTCACCTGAGTCAGCAAAAAAGCATGTTTTGTGCATTTTTCCAATAAAAAGTTCCAATCCTATAATAGCATAGATTATGATTACAAATAATACCAAAAGGGCTATGTGCAGGAGGGGAACCATGGCTTTTATAATGGAGTTCAGGACAACCTGCAAACCTAGGAAAGACAGAAACAAGTCTGTGAGCCAGGAAGTCGCCTCAGTGATACACATACACAATTCTGAATGACACTTGCTCCATTTATGACACACAGCAATAAAACTCAAAGAGACATTTCAAAATTTTTAATCAGCATTAAGCCCGGATGTGAGATGAGCTAAAAAGGAAACTTAAAGATCATCTACTCAAACTCTCTCACGTAACAGACAGAAAAACTTGTCCGCCCATTTAACAAACCCCTTGAACATCTACTACTATGTGGAAAGCTTAAGGTTTAGTGCATTTGGCGATATGAATATGTATTACATAAAGTGCCTTCTTTCAAAGAGATTATATTCTAGAAGGAGGCATAAGAATTAAACACAAATAACTGTACTCCAAGGTAGGACATGCCAGATGCTATACAAGTAATATCAAACCGTTAAAACTAAAGTGGGAAGAAAAGCATCGCTTCTGGGTGGTATGAAAAAAGAGGACTCTGAAGCTGCTTCCCTCTAGGCAGGCCTGAAGGTTGAGTAGGATGGGTTTCCACAGGTGGGCATGGGAGAGTGGCTACTCCAGGCAGAGAGAACAGTGTACGCAAGGCACAGAAGTGAGCAAGTACAACATAGGTTTGGGAGTGGAGAGTCTTCCTTGGAAGTCGAACAGAGGAAACAAATATCAGGAGGGAAAAAAAACAACTACCAGCTAGGTAGTTTTGGGTTTGAAGTGGAATTACAGAGCCAGACTTTAGTCCATCAGCAAAAAACAGCCGCTTTAGAAAGCCAGACAGGGCAGCAGTGGGTGAGAGAGATGGAGAAGTAGTTTGAGTGTTCTGGATCTCTCCAGTTAGGTGAGGAAGAAAATGAGGATGAGCTCAGAACTTAGAAATTGAGTTTGGGGGCAGGCAGATGCCTACGGAGTGCTCCAACTACTTGAGTCAGGGTCATGAGGCAAACTGTAACGCCCAGAACAAAAAGACTCAAGTTCAAAGGAGGCTGGAATGAGGAAGTGGGAGAGGGAGGGCAGAGAAAGGGCAGGGGGGAGAACGACTTTGGACCTGTTGCATTTTGAACACTGGCATAACATTGAAACGGAAGTGTCCAGCAGTGAAATATGGGCTTAGAGAGACGAGGGAGGGACATGTGGAAAAGCTATCAACAGAGTAATACTCAGAGCCCTGGTGTGGAGAAAGCTGCCAAAGAAGAGAAAAAGAACTAACAGGAAGTGGGATGCTGGGACAGCACTAAGGATTAGGAGTAGATGGAAGGAAGCCGGGGACTGAGGGAAAGTGATGAGCAACAGATCAGAACCACACAAGAAACTGCTTCCTGATCTGCACGCATTTCACTGTTTCTGCTCTGTGTAGGTTACTCTTCTTTTTTTCTTTCTCTTTCATTTTCCCTCCCCATTTTTTCTCCCTCCTTCAAACTGCCCCTTTTCTATTATTTTCTCACTTTCCCTTCCCAAACATTTTCAAAGGAAGAAAGAACATAAGAAGTGGAGGTGCTTAGAGTTAAATATACTAGAAATCGGTATACGCCAAGCAAAGAGAGGAATACTTATCAGCAATAATAACAAAAGTTTGCCGTGATAAGAACTATGTGGGAAGAGGTCGGGGAAGGACGGGAGGAAAGACTGGTAAGAGGATTTCAGACTCAAAGACCCTGTCTTTTCAAGATCTTCAGTACAACTAAAATGCTGCCTTCGGGTATTTAAATGTTCAAATTTCATTCTTTTGAAAAGAATGATCAACAGGATGATTTTCAGCATTTTTTTTTTTTTTTTTTGCTTCCTATAAGGAATAAATGAAGGGGAAATGCAAACATCTGCTCTAATCTACTTGGACAGGTTCTTTTTTTTTTTTTCTTTAAACACATGAATACCAAAAAAACTCAAACCCATTGCCGTCAGATCGATTCCAACTCATAGCAACCTTACAGGACAGAGTAGAACTACCCCATAGGGTTTCTAAGGTGCACCTGGTGGATTCGAATTGCTGACTTTTTGGTTAGCAGCTGAACTCTTAACCACTATGCCAACACATGGATGGGCCATCCAAAACCATCATCCAGCAGTTAGCTCTTCTAAATTCTATGGCAGTGAGAGCCATATGTTTAACTAATATTGTTATGTTTGGAATAATGTTTTTCATGAGATAACAGAGTTGCAGTGTAATGTGAATGTGTGCACTTTCCTTACATTAGGGTTCTTTGTACATATCAGTGTGTACAGCAGGTTGACGTATATGCCACAGGACTCTAGTCCAGGAGGCAGTGTGATGTAGTGGAAAGAACATGGGGCCAGGAATGAGGAGATGTGGGTCTGGTCCTGTTTGGCCATCCACTAGCTGTGAGAACTTGCACAACAGTTTCCTCAACTAACACACCTCCGTTTCCTCATCTAAAAGGTGATACAGATGAACCAGATGATCTTTAGGGTTCTTTCCTGCTTTGGTGGGCTAGGATTCTGCTAACACCAGCTAACTAAGTGTAGTAGGTTAAGATCTCCACAGATGTCTGAAATACTATCTTTTGAAATATATTTACCTTCCACTGAATGAATATATATTCACATATATACATATATACGTGCACGCACAAAACCATGTCCTGCTGCACTGTCTGAATTCTCTTTAGAAGAGACTAGATAATTCCTAGATAAGGGTAAAGAGTCAAACATGTCTGGGTATTTTTAACAATTTCAGGTACATGAAAAGAAATCACTAGGCCACAGCTGCCCACCAGCATTGGAAACAGGATGGCCCAGAGCCCTTAACTCCCTCCCTCAAAAGCTCATTTGGGTTTGAAGAGAAACTTGGATGTTCTCTACCAGGGCAGTTAAAATATGAGCTTAAAAGTCCTCACACAAGACTCAGATTCCCACTTCTCCCTGCTGACCTGCAGGAGAGTGAGATGCAGATCTCTGCCGAATTTCAAACGGTGATGTTTTGGAGAAAAGGAAAAACCATAGTTTATAACTGCTTCTCTAGAGTATCTGGAAGTACTGCACTAATCAATTAGTAAAAACTTCATTAGCCAATGGAGCGAAAACTATGCTATGTGAGTTGTGAGGGTTTTCACTGGCCAGAGTCTTGCATGCATGAGGCTCAGCACCAGGGTGTCTGCCCACAGCATATACTAACAGCAAACTGTCCTGTCATTTGCTCTTTGGGGGAAAGAGTTGTCATGGTTACTCTGAAATTAGATTAAGCTATAACAACTAAATCTGAAAGAACGTGTTTGCTCGCCGAACTTCTCATTTAATCACGTTACACTTTTAACAGAGCCAGTCATTTTCGAGGTATTTTCTGTTTCTCTCAATTGCTTCCAGACAGTTCTGTGGTTTTGACTTGTGCTGATCTTTTTCAATGAAAATAAATGAAGCATCTGGAAAAACAAGTGCGCATAAAACACCACTTCCTACATTTTACAAGGTTAAATTTGGAAATTAGGTTTTTTTCCAGAGAACTTTTGTTGTATTCTGAGCACCAATAAGTAATAAATTTTCATGAAGAAGTTCTGGAAAGGCAAAAAAAACCAAAAAAAACCCACATCTGTGCTTTTCTGATGGCTTTATGAGCTGTTAAAAAAAAAAAACACAGGAACACCCTGTAGTCCTGTATCCTTCCTCTAGCTGTGACCAGGCAACCATCTCCGAACCACCATTCCTTGGAAAGGTGTTAGGACTTCTGCTCTCTGAAGACTCTAACAGGAGGTGGTCTAGGAGAAGGCAGAGCCCCAAAGCAAAGCCCATGCTCCTTATGAAGGAGAAGAGCCCTGAGGTTCCTGGCCAGGGCACAGACAGGGCATCTGTGCCAACTCAGGTGGCATTCAACCCAGCCTGGAGGTCTGAAGCAAGGAGCCAAGGAGCAAATTCGCGCCTGGCAGGACTGGTATGGTAGTTCCCAGTGGATAATAATAGCATCTAACACTCACTGAGCCTCCTCTGAGTTCTAGACATTGCGCTAGGAACTCTCCCTATATTACCTCATTCAGTCCTCACAACAACCCTCAAGGCAGGTACTACTGTGCCCTATGTTTGCATGAGGGAACTGGGGCATTCATCCCTTTCCCCCAGAGCTGCTCAGGCACAATTCCTAGCTGTGGGAGAGCTAAGCAGAGTTTTCAGGAATCCAGTCCTCTACTGCTTCCCACTTTGAAAAAAACGAGTCAGTTGAGCCCTCCAATACCAACATAACCCACCACTTCCGGGGGGCAGGCCTGGGAGTGAGGAGGAAATGATGTCAACATGCTGTCATAGGAGGGAAACTAGACTGGAATCAGGAGGCTTGAACTCAGAGTCTTATGCCGCCACTTACTTAGTCCTTCTACAAGAGAAGATTCTTTCTTCTACAAAATCAGAATGACAACAATCGCCACCTGCCCCCCTCTCAGGGCTGTCACAGGTATCTGAAGTGACAATGCAAGCAGAAGTGTTTTGAAACTGTGAAGGCCGACATGGTCGTCCGCTGAGCCCTGAGTGGGCCCCAGCAGCTCACCTCGTAGCACTCTGTTTGGTAATTCTGAGGCCCACCCAGAAGAAACAATCAGCAAACTCCTGACTCTAGAAAACAAAAGGTGCTTACTGGGTACGCCTGATACTAGTCGAAGGGGTCGTAACACTCGAAAGGCGCGGAGGGCTTTGACATCAAAGCCTCCTGATTTGCCACTAGAGTGGTTACCGGCTTCTGTTTCTTTGGTTAATTGTTCCAAAATTACACTAAACAATCTGAAAGAAGAAGAGAGGAAGAAATGTTAGTCTGTCACCCCAGGAAGCAAAACAGGACGATAACAGTTGTTATTTTTAAACAAGGGCTAAATCTATATGGCTGCTGCTTAAACACAAGGCAGGCAAGGTAAAGGCAGGAAGGAGGCGCTGACATCTGAACATGACCCCTACAGCTGAAATGATTTGGGACAGGACTAATCCCATGTTTTCATGCCAACAGAGCAGCTACAGCAAGTCACTTCCCACGTAAGAGGGGACTCACCAGGGATCCACTGGTGACAAGCAGAACTCCCCAAATGGAAGTAATGACACCATTAGGAGCAGCTACCATTTCTCCAGAGCTGACTCTGTGCTGAGCACTTTATGTACGTTATCTCATGAATCCTCACAGAATGCTATGCAGCAGAAATTATTATCAACACCATTTTACAGAAGAGGAAACAAACTCAGTAAGAGTAAATAATTGCCCAAGGTTACACAGCTAGCGGTGAGCTAGCACATGAACCCAGGTGATTGCTGCCTCTAGAATACAGACTCTCTGATGGTGGGCATGTTTAGTCCGTTATCCCCCATGCCTACAGCAGTTCCCAACACATGGAGAGTGCTCCAAAAATATCTGATAAATAAATCAATGAAGAATTATTGACTTTAAAGTCCCAAATCTTAATACATAATACCACTTCCAATAGTTACCAACTTGCTATTACTTTGGCAATGTTGGAACCTCTCTCCACCCCCGACTTTCAACCTTATAGGGACAGTAGGAGGATAACGTAAATCACAGATGTTGAGGAGCTTTGAAAAGGCTAAAAGCAATAACCTAAGGTGAGGCATTAATATCATTATTTTCTCTTCTGAAATGCGAATAATATTGTATCTGGCAGCCATGGTAAATTTTGTCCTACTCTCAGAAGGTTTTACAGATAAAGCTATTTTCAGGCAATCTGCTCATTTGACAGTTACTTTTGCTCTCTCAAATATTTATTTTTTGGAATTGTTGCTTGTTTTTCAAAATAAATATAAATTTGCCCATTTCAAATAGAATCGTCTCTAGCCAATCAGATAGTGGGACTTATTGGCTGAGCAACAAAGAAAAGGTTTCTAAAGTTTAATTAGCAGCCAGAGCAGAAACTGCCCCCGCTGGCATGCCTCTGGATCACCAAGACACTGGCTCCATAAAATACAGGGTGGTCTGATTGCAGTCCTGATCAAGTATAGTAATGTCATTCTGGGACATTTATAGACCAGTCATTTGTTCTAACAACAGTCCAGCAATTAGCCATGAAACAGCTGGGGGGCGGGGCGGAGGGAGGGGGGAATAAGCCAGGTCTCTACCTTTTCGAAGCTTCAGATGGGGGCTCTCCCTAGTTATGACTGGGAGATATATCACATTTATGACAGGTTCCTCTCTCATTAGCATAGTGTTTTAATTACTGTAAACCCCTGCAGCAAGGCCAAAGTTAAAAGTTTCCCCTCCAAAAGAAGTTCCTAGCTTCACAAAAACAAAGCAAGAGGAAGAAAGAAAACCTCAAACTCTTCGGAAATGTGGCCGCCACAGGAATTTTCATCCCAAAGGGTTAGGAGAGTAATTGATGCAGGTGGTGACTTAAGATTGTTTTCCAGTATCAGTGTTTTGCAATGCACACTTCATGGTCCTTTTATTCCCTGTTCTTCAGGAATGCCCTTGAAAACAGGTGAATGATGGTCTCTCTCTCATTACAGGGGCACCTGAGTCAGAGAGAAGCTGGCTGCTGTTTCGGGAGAGCACAACGGTATAAAGGGCCAGGGCTGGTTTCCATTCCTAAGAGTTATGAAGCATTAGGAAAGTCCCTCTTTTTCTCTGGGCCTGAGTCTCCCCCTCTGTAAAATGAGGAAACTGGATTAAATGATCCAGAGTCCATTCTAACATTCTGTGATGCTACTCCCCTCCATCCCTACCCCGAAACAGCACCAGGTACCTGAAGAGATAAAGCCATGTGGAGAAAGCAGTATTTGACCCTAGGTTGTTATTAAAAGTTTGACCTTAAGAATGGAGATAAAAGGTAAGAAGCTGCCTAAACTGACACAAGCCAGAAGCCCCAGAATGAGCACCATGTTCATCTGTGCCAAAGCTGAAGTCATGAGCCTGAACGCTTGAAACAGATGCTTACTGAAAAATCAGAGGAGTGGGGTAAAAGTTGGTTCAGAGCAGTTTTCTGTAAAGGGAACGGCATCAGCTCTGGTAGATAACGTTGAGTCCTCTTGCGGCCATGTTGCTAACAGTTAACGGTTTAGAAATATCAGTCACTTTCTTAATGTCTCTATTGTGGGAATCTTTACAAAAGCAACAAGTCACTGTGGACTTGGAACGGAAAATCCACTGGATTGAGATACAGACGGCTGTTGGAACCTTTAGTGAGTAGCAACTTGACTCAAATGAAGACAAGTAATAATTTAACTTTCCTTTTTTAAAACTTTTCTTCCGCTCTTTCTTTGGCTACAATTCAAAGCATATTTTAGATAAATAGTATGAGGTTCTAAAGTTTTCCATATTTAATGAGAAAAAAAGTCCAATGATTCCAGTTTTGCTTTAAACTATTTACTAGATGATATTTTTTACGTTTTAAATCAACTTTATTGCAGTTTAATTTATATATAATAAAACGCACCCATTTTAAGTGTCCCGTGAGATGAGTTTTGATAAATGTATAAGCCTAAGTCAGTTAAGCGCTCGGCTGCTAACCAAAAGGTTGGTGGTTCAAACCCACCCAGTGGCTCCGCAGGAGAAAGACCTAGGAATCTGCTTCCATAAAGATTACAGCCAAGAAAACCCTATGGAGCAGTTCTACTCTGTCACATGGGGTCGCTATGAGTCAGAATTGACTCAACAGCACCCAATAACAACAAGTAACCAACACCACAATCAAGATATAGAACATTCCCAACATGTCAAAAGTTCTCTCATGCCCCTTTGCAGTCAATCTTCCCCCATGCTCAGTCCTAGGCAACCACTGCTTATCACTGTAGGCTAGTTTTTCCTTTTCTACAATTTTATATAAACAGAATCATATAGTATGTTCTCTTTATCTTCTTTTGTTCAGCATAATGTTTTTGAGATACATTCACGTTGTTGCATTTGTCAGCAGTTCATTTCTTTTTATTATGGAAACCTTGGTGGCATAGCGGTTAAGAATTCGGCTGCTAACCAAAAGGTCAGCAGTTTGAATCCACCAGGCGCTCCTCGGAAATCCTATGGCACAGTTCTACTCTGTCCTATAGGGTAGCTGAGTTGGAATAGACTCGACAGCAATGGGTGGTTTTCGGTTGAGCATCTTTTCAGGCGTTTGTTTACCGTTCATACATCTTCGTTTGTGAAGATCTGGTCAAATCTTCTGCCCATTTACTTACTGGGTTGTCTGTATTATGAGTTATAAAAGTTCTTTAAATATTCTGAATACAAGTCCTTTGTCAGATGTATGTATTACGAATGTTTTTTGCCAGTCTGTGGATTGTCTTTTCATTTTCGTCAGTGTCCTCTGAAAATATTTTTAAAAATCTTGATAAAGCCCAATTGACTTCTCTTATGGCTAGTACTTCTTGTGTCTGGACAGATCTTTGCCTACTCCAAGATCATAAAGATTTTCTTCTATGTCTTCTCCTAGAAGTTTTTTTTAATTTTAGCTTTTAATTTAGGTCTATGATCGATTTTAAGATAGTATTTGTATATGGTATGAGGTAAGAATGATTCATTTTCTTTTCATATAGATGAATAGCTGTTACAACACTTTCCTCACCCCATTGAATTATCAAGGTACCTTTGTCTAAAATCAATTGATTATATATGTATGGGTCTATTTCTGGACTCCCTATTCTGTTCCATTGATCTTTATGTCTACTCCTTATGTCAATATCACACTATGTTGACTACTGTGGCTTATAGAAAGCCTTAAAATCAGGTAGTATAATTCCTCCAGCTTTGTTCTTAAAGATTTCTATCGTTAGACTACAGCCTCTTTAAATTCCATATAAACTTTAGAATAAGCTTGTCAATTTCTACAAAGATTCTCTGGGATGTAGATTGGAATTTTGTTCAATCTATAGATCAATTTGGGTGAGAAATGACATCGTAACAATATTGAGTCTTCCAATCCATGAACATGGTAGCTCCCTCTATTTATTTAGGTCTTCTTTAATTTTTTCTCAGCAAGGTTTTGTAATTTTCATTGCAATATTTTGTTACAATAATCTCTAAATAAATCATGCTTTTTGATGTAAATGGCAATATTTTTAAAATTTCATTTACTAATTGTTCATGGCTAGTATATGTAAATCCACGTAATTTTTTATACTGACTTTTATCCATGAACATGGCTAAATTCATTCAGAAAATATCATTTTGCATGATTTCAGTCCCCCTAAATTCACTGAGATTTATTTTATGGTCCAGAATGATACTAGCTCTCTTGGTGAATAATCTATGTGCATGTGAAAAGAATGTGTATTCTGCTCTTGTTGGGTGGAGTGTTCTAAACATGTCAGTTAGGTCAAGTTGGTTGATGGTATTGTTCAAGTTTCCTATATTCTTAGTGATTTTTTTTTGTCTGCACAGTCTATCAGTTACAGAAACAGGAATATTAAATTGTACAGTTAAATTTGTGGATTTTTCTACTCCTTTCATTTCTATCAGTTTCTGTTTCATGTATTTTGAAACTCTATTATTAGACAAATATATATATTAGAATTGTTACATCCTCTTGCTGAAATGACTCCTTTATCATTATGAAATGTTTCTCTTTAATCCTAAAAATATTCCTTTTTCTGACATCTACTTTGTTGATATTAGTATAGCCACTGTAGGTTTCTTTTCATTAGTTTTTGCATGGTATATCTCTTTCTGTCCTTCTACTTTAAAATTATTTGTATCTTTATATTTAAAGTAGATTTTTTGTAGATACTATAGAGCTGACTTTTTATTAATATATACAATCTCATAATCTCTGGATTTTAATTGAGGTTTAGCTATGTTTAAATCTACCATCTTGCTATTTGTTTTTTTATTTGTCCTGTCCATTGTTTCTTTTCTCTTCTCTTTTTTTAATTAAGCTGTTTTATTGTTTTTAATGATTCCATTTCATCTCCACTATAGGATTATTGGGGCCCTGGTGGCACAGTGGTTAAGAGCTCGGGCTGCTAATCAAAAGGTTAGCAGTTCGAATCCACCAGCCACTCCTTGGAAACCCTATGGGGAAGTTCTACTCAGTCCTGTAGGGTTGCTATGAGTTGGAATCAACTCGAAAGCAATGGGTTTGGTTTTTGTTTTTTTACAGGATTATTAGCTATACGTCTTTATTTTTCTGGTGGCTCCTCTAAGCAAGGATCAGCAAAAATTGTTCTATAAAGTGCCATATAGTAAATATTTTAGGCTTTGTAGGCCATAAGGTCACTGTCACAACTATTCAACTCTACCGTTACAGTGCAAAAGTAGTCATAGATATGGGTTAATGTGGCTGTGTTCCAATAAAACTTTACATCCAAAAACAGACAGCAAATAAACTAATTTGTCAACGTGAAAAAAAAAACAACAGGTAGTAAAACAGACTTGTTCGCTGACCCATGACTCTATGGTTTACAACATGCATCTTTAACTTATCACAGTCTACTTTCAAATACTATTTTATCATTCTACATACCGTATAATAACTTTTCAATAGTATATGGCTATTTCTTTACTCCTATCTCTTGTGTTATTATTGTCATATATTTTATGTCTACAAAGGCTATAAGTCTCAGGATACAGTATTTTTGTTTTTGCTTTAAACAATCATGTATCTTTAAAGAGATTTTAGAATGAGAAAAAAAAGTCTTTATATTTACCCATAGATTTATCCTTTCTGGTGTTCTTCATTCCTTTTGTGTAGATCCAAACTTCTATCTGGGATCATTTTCCTACAGCCTGAAGAACTTCCTTTAACATTTCCTGAGGTGCAGATCTACTGGTGATGAATTCTCTCAGCTTTGTTTGTCTGAAAAAGTTTTTATTGTGACTTCAATTTTGAAAAATATTTTCATTCTAGGTTGACATTTTCCCCCAGTACTTTAAGATGTATCTCTATTGTCTTCTGGCTTGCATAACTGCTGACAAGAAGACTGCGATGCTTTTTTTTTTTTTCTCTGACTGCTTCTAAGATTTTCTCTTTATCTTTAGCTTTTAGCAATTTGATTATGATGTACCTTGGTGTGGTTTCTTCATGTTTACTTTTCTTGAGCTTTGTTGAGCTTCTTGGATTTGTGAATTTATATTTCTCATCACATTTAAAAAATTTGGAGCCATTATTTCTTCAAATATTTGTTTCTGTCTCCCTTCTCTCTCCTCGCCTTCTGAGACTCCAAATATACATCTGTTACATTGCTTGATACTGCCCCACAGGTCACTGAGGTATTGTTCCATTTTTTCTCAATCATTATTCTTCCTGTTAATGTCATGTCTTTTCTTCAAATTCCCTGAGTTTTTTATAGTGTTTAATCTGATGTTATACCAATCCAGGGAATGTTTCCTTTCATATATTATATTTTTCAGTTCTCGAAATTCCATTTGGTTCTTTTCTATACAGTCCCATCTCTCCTCATTATAGTCATGTTTTCCCTTAAATCCATACACATTATTTATAATAGCTGTTTTAAAGTCTTGTAACAGTCCTTCTCTGCTAATTCCATCATCTCTGTCATTTTTGAGTCTGTTTCTATTGAAGGAATTTCCTCCTGAGTATGGGTCACATTTCTTCATATGTCTAGTTATTTTTTAGTGGATGCTGGATACTGTAAATGTTACTTTGTTGAGTGTCTGTATTTTGTTGTCTTCCTTTAATGAGGGGTTGAATTTTGTTTTGGTAGGCAATTAAGTTACTTGTATATCAGCTTGATACTTTTCAGGCTTGTTTTCAAGCATTGTTAGTAACGATTTAAGGTAGTCTTTACTCTGGAGTAGGGGGTCAGCAAACATCTTTTGTAAAGGGCCAGATAGTAAATACTTTATGCTTTGTGGACCTAAACTACTCAACTCCGCCAATGCAGCACAAACACAGTCATAGAAAATATGCAACAAATGAGTGAGGCTGTGTTCCAACAAAATTTTACTTACAAAAGTAGGTGGCAGGCTGGATTTGACCCAGTAGCTACCGTTTGGCTGTAATTTCCTGGCCCCTGCTCTAGAGCTAGTTTAGTTCTACTACTAAGATATGGCTGTTCTTGGGTCTCTACTGACAGTCAAGTGTTCACTGAGGTCTTTCCACTCTTGTAGGTCAGAACTTGAACACCTCACAGCCCTATGTGAGCTCTGGTTAATATTAAGCTCTCCAGTTTTTCTTTTTTCCTAGTAGTACTATTTGCCTGGCCTCACAGACTCTAATCCTATGTAAGTGTAGCTTAGTCTTCAGCCAAAATTCAAGGGGACCCCAAGGCATATTTATGGACCCCTTTCTCTGCACAGCTCCCTCCTCTCCCATACTCTCTGCCTCTCAAATTTCAGCCATCTCAGCCTTCCTGAACTCTTGTCTCTGTCTCATCAACTCAGTTATACCACTAAGCTCTGCTTGGTTCTCCATTCTTACATCGTGCTGTAGTCTGTAAAGTGCTCTAGGCAGAAAGCTAAGGTGATCGTAGGGTGGGGGCAAAAGAAATAGAGCTAAGCATTTTCATCCTCTAGCTAACTAGAAGCTCCATGAGGCAGGAGAAGTACAGCAAGATTATTTGTCACAAAGCCAAGAGAACTGCCAGGCTCCTGTTTGCCATTCCAGGATAGAGTCCTTCAAATACAGGAAGGTACCTCAATGTGGCACATATCTGCCACCTGTTCACTTTAGCTACACTACTTTTGCAGTAATGTCTTAGATGTCAATGTACTGCGGTAGTTTTTGCAAAGCTAGTCTTTTTCTTCCGTAAGTGTAACTATCCCACTGTCTGGGCCATCATTTTGGATTCCATTTTAACTTCCTAGGTTGAAAGGGCAGGTCCAAAATGGATGCCATTCTCTCAACATCTAGCAGTATTAGTCTCCCATGAAAAGCCAAAGGATTCATAATAAAAGAATAATCCAAAGGAAATAATTACCCTGCTCAACTGCAAAAAGCAGTTGAATAAAGCCATGGAGATGAAAAAAAGAGGCCATTTAACAATCACTCTCTCTACAGGAGTGAACATAATTTTAGGAGTAACCCACTTTGCAGATGGGATAACTAAGGCTAAATAAAGGGATAGATCTTATCTTCCTAAGTGGATATTTGGCCCAAATACCCAGCATTTTTCTAACACTGATTCATTTTTCTCTTGCTGGCAGCATGTCCAGGTGTGGAAGAACCAGAACAACACAGGCCGCTATGTTTGATGCTAATGTTCTCCTTTAACTAAAAACTACCAGTGTCTTCTCCCAGGCTGGCGTCTCTGTATGTTCTGGCTTATTCAGTTTCATGCCATATATCTGACGTTATTTAGATGCTGTTTTGTTATTTAAAATAGGAGAGTAGCATGCCAGAATTTTCCCCACAAGGCAGCAGAAAAATTTATATCCTTGCTCAAAGGATGTTAAATAGCAAAGTACCTCACTGCTATGAAAGCTTTACTACATTTATTTATTTATATATTTAACTTAACAGGGTGCAAAGTATTAGGAGCATTTGACTTTAATCATCTGCAGGACTGGCCTATTTGTGGAGGTCTGAGGGCTTGCAAGATGAATCCTCTTACATTTGGGGCTTACGCTCCCTTCTGTAGCATGTTACTGGAAGGGAGAGTAACAATACTGAATTTCAGACCAGCCTTTGCCCAGAGATTGACAGCAGCATCACCAGTCTTAAAAGAACTTGACAGGTTCTGGCTGCCATCACTGGCATAAAAGAGCAGCCACATTCCCTCAAAAGCCTGTGTTCTCTGTTACCCCCGCCCATTTTCCAAGTAAGCACTTCCCCAAAATAAAAAAGACTTACCCTACTATTACTATAACAAAATCCAATAAATTCCATCCATTCCTAACATAAGCATTAGGATGTAGTAATAATCCATACGCTATAATCTTCAAAAATGTCTCGACTGTAAAAATAATCAGGAAGGCATATTCTACTTTTTCCTGTGAAAAGAAACAAAGGGGAAAGAAGGAAAAGAAAGGGAAAAACAGGGATTAGAATCAATATTTCAGAAACCTAAACATTTTTCTCCAAGCAAAGTTTTATTATGTGAAATAGAGCAATTACACTACACCTGGGTCAGGAAGGCATTTAACTCCAACACTGAATTTCTCATAAGCAACTAAATGTAAAACACTTTTCATTCCAGGCTGCATGACTGCATTTTGCCACCTGCCTGATACGCGTGCAATGAGTCTGTCCAGGACATAATGGGCATGTTTGTTACTTGCACACATTAGCAAAACGCAGCATGTTTTCCTCCTGAGAGTGCCATATCAGGCCCGGAAAAGCACAAGGGTGCAACACAGATTCCACTGGCAGCTTTGAACAGAACATCCTTCAGAAGAAAAGAAGATGCCTCTGTTTTGACCCTTTCTTCCTCTGGGGTTTACGTCCGACTTCTAACTCAGAGTCAGCTTTGTCACTGAGTAGCAAGGTGACCTTGGGCAAGTCCTCTCCCTCCTCTGGACATAAGTTTCCTCACTTGCACAGTAAGAGGGGTGAATTCAGGACGGCAAACACATTGCCTGCCTTCTGCCATGAAGCCTGTCCACACCGACACTGCTGATTGGTCGCCATGCACTTTCCCAGGGAGGCTCAGAATCCTCTTCTAACACTCCCAGCAGCCAGTACCATCCCATCGCCACAGATCTCTGGCGTGCCACCCCCGAGGCTAGATGAGTTTCAGAACCTTTCCAATTCCAACTCATGTGACTCTATGAGCTGTGGAAAACACATCAATCAGGAGGTCTAAAAATTCTGACTCTTTTCTCTTTTATAAAGGTTTATGTGTTTCAGTTTACAAAGGTTTAAAAAGGTTTACACAGTTTCAGTTTCAACAGAAATATAGACTGACTGGGACTTGTACTGTTAATTTTTAAGAGGCAACCCCTGGCAAGAAGCTACTTAAATAGTAACTAAATGAAAAAGCATCAGTAATTAAAACTCTTCAATATGGGCCACAAAATGCTCGACTAATATTAATTCTACTCTGTAGAGCTGGGTAAAGTTACCAATACCTTAGGAATGTGGAAGGCATATAATTCACTTATTAAGATGCCTGGTGCAAGAGGTCAAATAAATCTGGCTCTGGAAATACTTAGTGAGCACCCCTCCTGCTGACAGACACTGTACCAGGTGCCAGGATCAGAAATACGCCCCAACTGTGGAATCTGTCCTTGAAAAGTTTAGTCTGGGGAGCAGGGAGTGTTCTGAATGTTCCCACAGAGAATGGCCTAAGAGTCACAAGGAAGTAACTGACAAAGAGTGTCTCTAGGCCTCTGATAAAGCCAAAAGGTTAGTCCACTTATCCCGACCTTCCATTTCACAACTGATTGCAAATAAAAGAAGAAGAACCAAGGATTTTCCATGCTAAATGTGACTATTGTGGACATATTTTTATAAATGTTAATTTGTGGGTCTTTTTTTTTTTTTTAAGGGAAACGAGTTTCTGAAGAGCAGCATTTTTAAAACAGGCATTCTAGGATGATTTCTACGGCCCCATCTTTGCAAAACTGCCACCTGATATTTGCTTCCAATGGCTCTGTTGTTGAATAGCATCCCCGCCAAAAATTCATGTCACTTGGAACCTCTGAATGTGACCTTATTTGGAAATAGGGCCTTTGCATATGCAATTAAAGAGTGAGATCATATCATGCTAGACTAGAATGGACCCTAAATCCAATGAGAGTGGCCTTAAAGGAGAAAGAAAATGGCACACAGAGAAGAAGGTGACATAAAGATGAGGCAGAGACTGGAATGATATGTCTACAAGATAAGGAACGCCAAGAACTGTCGGCAACCCCCCGAAGCTGGGAGCAAAGCAGAGTAGATTCTCCTTCAAAGCCTCCAGAAGGAACCAATGCTGCTGATACCTGGTGCAAGAGGTCAAATAAATTGCAGACTTCTGACCTCCTGAACTGTGAGAGAATAAACTCTTGTTTTAAGCACCCAGTTTGTGGTAATTTGGTATGGCCACCCTAGGAAATTAATACAAGCCCCAGTATCCTTTACATTTAAATATCAATTTTGCCTAAGCCACTTCTGGGCTCTAGTCCTCTGCTGTGGAGTCCCAGGCTGAACTTCCCATGTTTTATCATTGTATCTTTCCTCTTTCCCACCAGGGGAGCTACCCAGCTGTTGTCCTCTATCCCAGCTTCTACCTCCATTCTCAGCTCCCCACTGGTCATGCCCAAAAAGCCAGTTCACGGGTTCCTACTCACCAGATCCCAAGGCTATCATTATTCTTATCATTTCTAAACTTGCCCTCCAGAGCTCCCTTTGATCCTCTGAAACACCCTCATAGCTGTCTAATAAACTCTTTTTCTGGTGTGTATAAGCCAAGTCAGGGTATTTAATTTCAAAAGCCTAGTCCATCTCCAACCTCTGTACTCATGCTTTCCCCAGACCATCAAATAGATCCTGGTCCCAGCCTGGCTCATCCTCTGCATCCCACTCCCTTTGCCCAGCTGTAAAGATGTTGCTTGACCAAGATGCCACTCCCTTTACAAGTCACAACCCCCAGGATGGGGTAAGCAGCCATGTTAAATGCTCCCAGAGCTCTGTGTCTATCCCCTTTTACACCACACAACAGACCTACAAGAATTCCTCTGTTTAATATCTGTATTTCCTGCAAGCTTCACAAGAGCAGGGGCCTGTCATCCAGCTCACTGCCGTATCCCCAGAGTGCTCCCATAGAGTAGGCACACAATAAATATCTGTTGGATGAATAACTGTACATTCACACTACTATGGATAATCTAAGGAATAGGCACCAACTTTAATAGTGGAGAGGGACAAGAGATCCAGGAAGGCTTCACTGAGGCAGCGATATTAACTTTGAAAATTAAATGAAAAACTAAATTCCCTGAAATTAGACTCTGACCAACAAATGTAGATCATCAATGTTTTTGACACTCAAAGTTCTAAGGGAACAAGATAAGCTAAAAACAGCACATTCACTTTACAATTCCTCTTCCCTTTTTATCCTTCTTGCTTTATTTACTAGGCCAGACAGGAAAAGAAAAAAAAAAAAAAAGCACCTATTTTTGCCATCAATATTCACAGCAGTTACATCCCTACGTCAAGACAGCACTATACTTCAGAGCAGAAAAACAAGACAGAGAACAGAGAGTACACCTACCCAACACAGCTTGTTTTTCCTCTTTTATTTATAAGTAAGCCATTAGTATAACTGAATTGTTTAGGGTTCTTTTATTCACCTCCTCCTTACCCTTCTCTCCCTTTCTTTTTAAAGAATTTGGTTTCTGTTTCCAAAATCCTGAGTGAATTACTTGATGGAATTGATTATAAGACAAAACATAACCTTGCATTAATGTGATTTTTTATTACAGAGATTCTACCATAGTGGAAACTGAACAATCATAGCCTGGACAGCACAGCAGACCACAGTTTGCCTAGAAGCCAGGGCTATCCCAATCCTATCATCAAAAAGACTTCTAAGAAATGAAATGTACTCCACACTAAGCAAATGTAGTGTAAAAGAAAAACAAATTACAAAACAACATAATCAGGGGAAGGAAAGTTAATGATTTGCTTTACAAAAGGATTGTTTATTTGAGACAAGAATGTTTGAGTAAGTAATCTGAAAAATAAGCTGACAAGAAAGTCAAGCTCCTGAGTGAGGAGAGAATGTGCACCCAGCAGATAACATAGGTAAGATAGCACATATAGAAGACACTGAGGTCTGCAGTTGAGATGGACTAGAGCACAGAGAAAGAAGCAACTGCAAGGATGAAGGAATGGATGACTAGAAGAGAGGCAAGCAGGAATCCTCAAAAACTGGATGTAAAATGATGTGTCCTTGCTATATGAGGCCTGGGCAGGGGCTGTACCTTAAAAGCCCCACCACAGACACATCTCTGACACAAATAGGTTGAAAGTGAAAGGATGGAAAAAATATTCCATGCAAATAATAACCAAAAAAGAGCTGGGGTGGCAATCTTAATATCAGACAAAGCAGATTTTTAGACAAAATCTGTTAGAAGAGATAAAGATGGATATTATATAGTGATGAAAGTGTCAATTCATCAAGAAGATTTAACAATCATAAATGCATATGCACTCAACATCAGAACACCTAAATATTTAAAGCAAACACTGATAGAATTTAAGGGGGAAATAGAAAGCACTATAATAATAGTTGGAGACTTCAGTACACCATTTTCAATACTGGACATCTAGAAAGATGACTTAACATATATAGAATACTCCACTCAATGACAGCACAATATACATTATACTCCAGTGCACATGGATCATTCTCCAGGATAGACCACATGTTAAGTCACAAAGCAAGTCTCAATAAATGTAAAAAGACTGAAATCATAAAAAGTGTTTTCTCTGACCACTCCAGGGTCAAGCTAGAAATCAAAAACAGGGGAAAAAAACTGGAAAATGAGCAAAAATATGGAAATTAAACAACACACTACTGAACTACCAATGAGTCAAGAAAGAAATCAAAAGAGAAATAACAAATTTCTTAGAGTCAAATGAAAATTAAAGCACAACATATTAAAACTTGTGAAATGCAGTGAAGGTAGTACTCAAGAGGGAAACTTACAGTAGTAAATACTTACATGAAAAAAAAGAAAGATCTCAAATCAACAGCCTAACTAGACAACTTCAGGAACTAGAAAGAGAAGAGCAAACTAAGCTTAAATCTACCAGAAGAAAGGAAATAACAAAGATCAGAGCAGAAATAAATAAAATCAAAAACAGGAAAAAAACAGCATCAACAAAACCAGAAGTTGGCTCTTTGAAAAGATCAATAAAATTGACAAACCTTTAGCTAGACAGATGAAAGATAAAAAGATGCAAACAACCAAAACAAGAAATAAAAGAGGAGACACTACAACGGAAACAATAAAGATAAAGAGAATCAGAATATTATGAACAACTGTACGGCCAAAAACTGGACAAG